AATGAATAATTAAATATATTAAAAAAAACAAAAATAAAGTTAAAAAATTTTATTGGGTGTTACAGATATAATTAACATAAAAAGAAAAGATCAGATTGTATATAGCAATATGAAAATCGAAAGTGACAATGGAATCAATTTTGACAGGAATTGAAGCCTGTGTTCTCTGCTCTGTCTTTTAACTTGGTTGGGAGACTTAAGGTAGTTGATGTTCTAAGTATCAGTTGGATGAACAGTGTTACACATGCCTGGGTTCCTTATACACCAAAGTGGCTGAATAGGTTCAGTCTGAATCCCTCTACTCACCATTCTATGCCTCCATTCATTCAACCTATCAGTCGCCTCCGCATATCTCTTCATACCCTTTTCATCCCGGTTTCCAGACCACAATGTCTCCGCCATTGCAGCAGCTCTTGGCCAAAGTCTAGCATCCAAAACTGTTGGGTCTGCCTGCTCAGACCACAAAGCCACTTCCCCACCCAATACCAACTCAGCTTCCTCTTTACTCAACCCATCCGTTATATCATAATTGTATATCGTTTGCCAGGTTTTAAAGGGTCCACACCATGATCCACCGTCTTTCGAGTTATTACTCCTTGGAGGCAGATCATACTGGCTGTTATTGCCAAGAAAATCACCATGGCCGCAGTCCAAGTAGTAGTAATCAGAAGAAGATACAATTGCTCTGTATCCAGCAGAAACTATTCTCTTAGTATTGTTAGGGCCATTGTTCCATGTCTGCAAAATGGTATGTTGACGTGGAAGAAACGAAGAATCCACCTTCACATTTTCATCCAGCAAAACATCCTCCCAATACACAGCAGTCTTGTTAAGGGAGATAATGTAAGGCAGTGTGGAGTTGACAAACTTCTCAAGTAGCTGACTCAGGGTTCCTCCATTGGAGAGAAAGGACCGGATTGTTGGATCAGCTTTCCAGCAACAAGGGATAATCTCGTCAGCTCCTCCATGGTAAAATGGTTCAGGGAATAAGGTGGATACATCATGGATCACGTTTTTGAGGACTTGATAAGTCTTGGGATTCAAAGGGTTGAGATGGCCAGTTCCTGGCTCAGATGCAAGCCGCTCAGACCAGTCACTCTCAGCTGGCCACCAAAACATGTTTGCACATGTCACAATTTCTGGGTAAGCTTCTGCCCATGATCCTGTGTGACCAGGAGAGTCAATCTCTGGAAGAACTCTGACTCCATGATCCAAACCAAACTCAACAATCCTTGAAACATCATCAGGAGAATAAATCATGTCGGACCCATAAGAGCCTTTTGCAGCAAGCTCAGGCTCCAACGGCAGCACAAGCGGAAACGAATGTGAATCAGTAATATGCCAATGAAACACATTCATCTTATTCCAACTCATCCCTTCAATCACCCTCAATATATCCCCAACTCCATAATAATTCCTCGAAGTATCCAACATAATCCCTCTGTGCCCAAAAATGGGAGAATCCCAAACACTCAATCCCGCAGCCACCCTCGACGGGTTTCCCCAAACAACTTGGGAGAACGTCTCGAGCCCTCGCATGGCGCCCCAGACAGTAGCTGCCGAGAGATGGGCAATGGAGTTACCGGAGGGGATGGTGAGAGTGTAGGACTCGTTGACACCGTGGTGGAGTGGAATGGAGAGATCGGAAATGGTGATGGAGAGTGTTTGGAGGGGAGGAGATGAGGGGATGAGATTTACAGGAGGGGGAATGAGTGGGTGGTGATGCTCTGTGGTGATTAGATGAAGGTAACGGTTGACAGAGGGGGCAAGATGGGGGTGGGAGGGGGAGGTGATGGTGAAGTTGGGGGAGAGAAGAGTGGCTTCTGGTTTTAGCCATGAGAAGAATGTGGGTTTTGGCCAGACGTTAATGGAGTATTGGGTTGATGGGGAAATGGAGAATGAGAGGAAGAGTGTGAAGATGGTGAGAGAGAAGATTGATTTATAAGTAGGAGTCGCCATTGGAGTTGCAGAGTGAAGGTCTGAAAGATTGGTGTATTTATGGAGGGAGAGGAGGTTGCCGTCCTGAAAATTTTGAAGTTAAAAATGGCTTTATCTTTGTCATTATAAAAATGCTATCAGAGATCTACATGAATATATATATATATATACTACAACAATGGGATAGACAGAAGACAGGTCTGGTTGACATCGGGAAAAGCCGGCATTATCTTCTTTCTTCTACTTATTAAATATTCAACTTGGTCTTGATTTGTTTAATCTACAATTTGGCCGGTAAATCAAATCATACTTAAAGTACACCTCTGAATTTTCAGTTTCTGAAATAAAATTCATCTCATTATTATGATATTTTATAGGTTAATGAAGCTTAGATCATAATGTTTATATAAATTATTTAATTAATATATTGATAGAATTATAATTTTATATTTTAAATAAAAAAATATTTTATAATAAATAGATTATATTAGTTAAAAATAGATATAACATATTAAAAATCTCAATTTAACTTTATTTTAAAAAATAATAATAATAATTTTATAAAAACTAATTTATAATATTAAGAAATAATTTTTAAACGAGTTTGTACTTTTATTTTTATTTTTTTATATTATTCTCTTTATCTTAAAAGATTTACTCAATAATATTTTATTCGGTAATTTATAATTTTATTTATAAAAATTAATATTTGGGATTCAATTTTTATTTATATTACTTTTATATAGTTAAGATTTTTGTTTTACAAATAAATTATTATATTTTTTTCTTGATATTTTTCATATACTAAAGAAATTTCATCTATTAATTTTCTCATTATTATACTCAAATGTATAATGTTAACTTAGAGCGTATATATATGTAATACATCGACGAACACAAAATGTGAAGCTTTTAAATCGAAAAGCATGCATAACTTCTTCTTCCATTAGTTTATTTTCATGAATCTACATCAAAGCATACTATTTGCACAATATGACATGTATTATACATGGTATAAATTTTATTTTAATATTTTATATATCAAATTTTGAAATGAGGTAAAAAAAAAATGTATGATAAAATGTAAAAGAAATTAACTAATCACTAAATTGAATCATGATAATAATATTAGTAAAGCATTTAGAAGTCGACTTAATCTTATGGTACAATGCACACGATATAAATTTATTATTATTGCAGTATCTGCATAATAAAAAATAAATACCAATAACGTATTACATAATACGAATAACTGAATTATGATAATAATAGCAAAACATTTAGAATTTAATTTAATTTTACAATATATGCATGCGTTATAAGCTTATTAGAGAATACTATTATTATCATATTTTGTATGTAACTTATCAAAACCTACAAAATTAAATAAATAGTTCTTAAATGATTAGTTCGAAAATAACATTTTTAACCATCATTACTTACTTTATGGTTAAAAATAATTTATTATTTTTTAAAATTTCTTCTATCAAAATATGTTTTACCTAAAACTAGGGATTACGGTAACTCAAAAGGGATTTGTACAAAGTTGTAGATGTTTAGATGTATATATATATATCCTTTAGGGTTAAAAGGGTATTAATGATGTGTATACAGTGTATACATCTATTCCTTTTTATCCTAGATATAAAAGCATCTCTTTTAATTGTTAGAAGCATTAAGGAATGAAAAGAAAAAGAACTCTATTAGGGTTTCTCAAATCTCTTTGGTCTTTCTTGTGTGTTTTTCCATTACCTTTGTGAAAAGTTTGTCAGTCCATTATAAGATCTAATCGGTTCTTTTAATAAAATTATTAATAAATTATATTTTTAGCATTTGCTTTATTTTAAAATATCTTTGTATTATTTTAATTGACGATTTTGTTGGCTCATGTCTTTAGATTTTTCCTCGATCCTTAATCTCATTGCTATAAAAATGGTGTCCTTACCATTAGAGGATGACGATCCTTCAATGAAGTACATAATGATTTCGTCCCTCGCTTAGTAAAAAAGTGACAATAATTATATAAGACTAAGTCTTTAAATATCATTTAACTTAACTTTATTATTTTTTAAAAAAGATAATATTATAAGTACTATTAAGAAATATTTTTTTAAAGAGTTGATACTTGTATTTTGTTCTTTATTTCTGTTTTTTTTTCCTATAGTTCTCTCTTTATTTTAAAAGGTTGACTCAGTAATATTTTGTTTAGTGATTTAAATTTCTGTTTATTGAAATTGATATTTGGGACTTAATTTCTATTTATATTATTTTTTTATAATTAATATTCAACTTGGACTTAATTTATTTAATCGTCAATTTAACTGATAAATCAAACCATACTTAAAATATTTTATGTCAAAAACTCAAATATTAATTTCTTTTAAGTAAAAAAAATATTTTATGACAAATAAATTTTATTAGTCAAAATATTATAAAATATTAAGAATTTAATCTTAACTTTATTATTTTTTTTAAAAAAATATTAATTTATAATATTAAAAATATTTTTTTAAATGAGTAAGTCCTCGTATTTTATTTTTGTTTTTTGTCTACGCTCCTCTCTTTATCTTAAATAGTTGACTTGATAATATTTTATTTAGTAATTTCAAATTTTATTTATTGAAATTGATATTTGGGATTCAATTTTTATTTATATTTTTGCATAAAATTAAGATTTTTGTTTTACAAATAAATTGTTATATTTTTCTTAATATTTTTTATATTTTGTCTTTCTCATTTTTTTCCTAATAATAATAATAATAATAAAATATTTTTTTTTTGGGCCCTTTTTCATGTTTACCATTCTCCCAAATTGGGTATCAGACAAAACATGAGAAAAACTAGAAAAAGAAGAAAAGGAAGGCAGAAGAAGAAGAAATTTTCTTGGCTTTTCAAGAAAGAAGAAGCTTTCACGCAACTCCCAATATCTCTGTCTATTCGGGTTTTGCTTAAAATTGCAGAAGGGAAGACTGAAGAACCCAAAAAAACAAGACACTAATGACACTTCCCTTTGCAAGTTGAGAGGTAAAATGGTGTCTCTCTTAATTTTCGTATTTATGGAATAGTTTGGCTTATTTATATTGTCAAAATCTATCTGTTCTCAATTCGTGGAAAAAGTTATTTTCTTTTCTTTAAAAGAAATTTAATTCAGTTCAAAGCTGTAGTTTTTGAGATTGTTTAGAAGTGTTTCTATTTAGCTCTGCTTTCATTTTTATAATTTCATCCTTAGTTTTAAGCTCTGGTTTGTTGCGTAGAACATGGAGAAAAAGAGAGGAAGTAGGAATTTTTGGTAGTTATGAGTTCATTAATTGGATAAAAACAGTATAATTTTGGGGAAAAAACAAAAAAAGAAATGGGATTTCTTCATTCATGTTCTGTGATCTTTTGTTGATAGGGTAAAGGGTGAAATATTTTTCTGAAGATCTTATTTGTTTTTGGTTAATGAATTACAGATAAGAGATTCTGGGTATGGAAGTTCTCTCTCACAATTCCGCACCCTACTGTCATGTTGTATACTTAAGTTGTAAAATAGTCAAAGGAAGATCAAATTCATGGCTGCTCCCACCTTCTAGGAAACACAGACTTTTATGGTTTGGAAGTAATAAAAATGGGCCTCTGAGAATTTCTGAGAATAAGCAGTTTCCTTTGAAGAATCTTGATAGCAGAAACAAGTTTAGGTCCTTAGATGTCCTTGGAAGGGTTTCAAGAGTTGATTATAATGTCTGTAATGGAACCTACAATGGCTATGTTATTGGTAATAGTGGGGAGGAGGGTGCAGGGACTTTCTCCGGAGATGAAGAATCATTAGCAAAGGTTTTAATTCCAAGTTTGCCGGATGAGCCTAATGGTGAATGTGGTGCACCAATAAGTAGTTGTTTTTGGGAGTGGAAACCCAAGCTCACTGTACATTACGAGAAATCTGGCTGTGAAAATGTGAGTTCTCCACCGGTGCTTCTTCTTCCTGGTTTTGGTGTTGGCACTTTTCATTATGAGAAGCAACTGAAAGATTTAGGCCGGGACTACAGAGTGTGGGCAATTGATTTTCTTGGGCAGGGCATGTCACTTCCATCTGAAGATCTAACTTCAATGTCTGAGGAAGTGGGTACCTCTGAAAGGAAGAATTTGGTATGGGGATTTGGAGATAAAACTGAACCATGGGCAAATGATCTTGTCTACTCTATGGATTTATGGTGTGATCAAGTTCGATATTTTGTAGAGGAGGTATATTTCAACTTTATGTATATCTTTTCTTCTTCATATCATCGATAATGCTTTGCCTTATATCCTGATTTCTTCTAAATCAGTTTGCCTGCTGCATAGTTGCCAAGTAACTTATTGATTGTCTTGTGATGTATACCATTAGTAAAATCTGGAATTCTTGTTAGATTATATAGACTGGAAGCCACTAAATTTCTTTCCCCACCTTTAATTATTTACCTTATCTCATTTATCAGTTGAAATATGATGTAGGAAGAGAAGTTTTCTCAGTTCTAGTGACTCAACTCTTTAGTTTATCGACATAATGCATAAAAGTATTAATGAATCATACACATACTTATGTCGGTTTCAGGTCATTGGTGAACCGGTTTATGTTGCAGGGAACTCACTTGGAGGGTTTGTTGCCTTATATTTTGCAGCATCCTACCCACATCTTGTGAAGGGCATTACATTACTTAATGCAACCCCATTTTGGGGATTCCTTCCAAATCCGGTAAAATCTCCAAGGTTGGCAAGGATATTTCCACGGTCTGGAACATTTCCTCTTTCTACAAATGTGAGAAAACTCACAGAATTTATGTAAGTTGTATATTACTTTTTTGATTTAATCATGTTATTTTATTGTCGATTGGTTGATTAAAGATAAAATAACTTGCATACATAAGTCCCCAATTATAAAGTCATTACTATCCACTTGGGTACTTCTGTTCATTCTATGCCAAGAAAATTCACATTTATTTTTGCATATGAGAGAGAGCTTTTCTTATGGAGTTAAAATGAGGTTTTAAGTCATTTTTGCATGTTTTGCTTAAGATTTACTTTTGAGTCATAAGATGTTTATTACTCTTCTCCGAAGCCATTGTTATTCTAATCTGGCAGTTCTTTTCTTTTCTCCGTGTCTTTAGTTGGCGAAAAATAAGTGATCCTGAAAGCATTGCAGAGGTTCTTAATCAAGTTTATGTAGATCATTCAATAAACGTTGACAAAGTCTTCTCTCATATACTCAAGATAACACAGCATCCTGCTGCTGCTGCTTCCTTTGCTTCAATTATGTTTGCTCCTCAAGGACAACTGTCCTTCATGGAGGCTTTGTCTAGGTAGGTGGAATAAAAAGCTCTAATTCCTCATGTAATTTTTTCCCATTTGACTCCAAATTAAGGTCGTACCTTATTTGTAGGTGTAAAAGGAACAAGGTTCCAATCTGTCTCATGTATGGAAAGGAAGATCCGTGGGTAAAGCCTATATGGGGGCTTCGGGTAAAAAAACAGATGCTTGAAGCTCCATATTATCAAATCAGCCCAGCTGGTCACTGCCCTCATGATGAAGTTCCTGAGGTATACAAAAAAATTGTTGTCAAATTAGTATTTACTATTCTCTGAGTTGTTCTTTCGGAGATTTCAATTAAAAAGATGGTTTTAGGGATATTTAGGATTAAAATGATGAAAAATATGTAAACCAGTTGTATATATATACATACAGAGAGAATGATATATTACATATTTCTGAATATCTCCAAGAACTGATTCTCAATCCTAGTTATATGATGATGCATGGCAACCTTTTTTTTTTCTAAATATTGATGCATGGCAACCTTAAGGAGAAATTTATTTGTCTCCTTCCTGATCTCCATCCAGGCCGGAGTATTCTCCTGATTATGGGTTGATGTGAATTCGAGAAACAGGAACTATATGCGGATCAAACAGTTATTGTTTGTGAAGGAAGGCTGTATCATTTCTCCGAATGTACTCAGAAATTAGAAAAATACTAGCCAAGGGTGTCTTGAAAGAGAATTGTTGGGGATTTGTTTCTTTCTTTCTTCATTTCTTGTTCGCTTAATATTGATTTTTGAAAGTAAATTGAAAGAGAGACCTCAAAGGGAGTTAACTTGTTCTTTTGCCTGTCTTTCCGGAACTTAACAGTTTCGTTATGGTGCAGGTCGTGAATTTTTTACTTCGTGGGTGGATTAAAAACTTGGAATCTGATGGCCGCATCTCGTTACCTCTACTTGAGGATGCAGAGAGCACTCAAAGTGTTGAAAGGGAATTGGAGTTTGTGAGAGAAGGTGTTCAAAAGTCAGTAAAGGTGCGATTTTATGGATCGGGTTCTTCATTATGGGACCAGATGAGATCTAATCTCAAACATGGCTTTAGAAAACTCAAGTTCAAATCAAATTAGCAGGGTCTATATTCTCTTTGAAAGTAAGATAGTGTAAATTCTTAGATGTAGCCTTTTTCTTTTCATTCACAATTTTATTTATATATTCTTTGATGAATATATTATATTGAACCAATCTGTTATATCTTTTCTTTTTTCAGGTTTACATATCATTTTTGTTTTTGCATTTGCTCAAACTCAAATGCAAGAATGATGCAATGAAGAAAGTTGGGATGATCATAGCTCATTTTCGAAGTCCAAATTATGCTTTAAGTAGTAATATTCATCTATCTGAAATCTTAGGTTAAAAAACAGATTTAATTTGACTAAATTTGTTAAATTAATTAATGAAATCAATACAAATCAAAATAAACAATAAAAATTTATAAAGTAATAATTTATTAACTATCAATCTACAATTAAAAATTTTAAAATTTTTTTACAAAATTTAATTTATTCAGTTCAGAGTTCGGACTAAAGACTAGATCGAAATTTTTGATTTCTAGATTATAATTTTTTATTTTTACTTTTGGATTAAACATAATTAGATCTGGTTTAATCTAGTACGGTCTTATGGTGCCATTGTGGATCTGGGCCACAAGAAAACGAACGATTGTTCTTATTAAACCAAATGGCTGAAATTTGCTTGGAAGGATTCAAAGGTGATAAATGGATACACTCTGTGGAACTCTGCTTTTCTGTAATGGCACCATAATCTCACCTGCACCAGACTCCATAGCTTCAACTTATTATTGTTGGAGAATATTGACGATATAACTTTACAGGTAAAACCAACCCATTTATCAAAAACTCAGATTTTATGTGTTTCTTCATCAGATTCTTCTTCTTTCATCGCTCTGTTATCTTTGCTTAATTTGAAGCTGAGGGATTCCCATCACCAAATTCCACATCATAATCTCATCTATATGCTTGATTCCATCATCTTGTGGAGAATTTCTAACTGGGTATGCTTTGAATTGTTTTAAAAGACTTATTTTGGGTATGTTAAAAGTTAAACCCTTAAATCTAAAAGACTTTAAGAATCTCCTCTTTTAATGATGTTGTCAGTTGCTGGACAGAACCTTTGCTTGATTATGACTTGTAATTTTATGGGTAATTTATTGATTCCGGATTTGAGGATTGTGTTCTCTTGGCATATATTCTTACAGCTTGTTCTTTGAGCTTTTGATCATGAAATCTGCTTTTAATGATTTGGTTCGGATTTGTAATATTGGGAAATTTAGTTTAAATTTATTAGGGTTTGTTGCTTGAATAGGAAAGAAATAGGGTTGACTGATTGATCCAAAAAAGCGAGAATTTGATTTGCAGATATGATCTTTCTTGTGTTGTTTGATTGCAGAACACTTATGGGTTGTGTTAGTAAATGAAGGGGGAGGGGGGAAAATGGATGATGGGGAAGTAGAGCTTTCAGATCATGTTTTATTATCGAAACTGGATTCTTCAAGTGATTTTCAAAATTTAGCATCTGTAGATTCATTTCTGGATGAATTCTTGAAGAACACCACGACCACAACTTGCACTCACACACACACTTGCAATCCACCTGGTCCTGATGATGCTGCTCACACTCATACATGCTACCACACACATACCCGAGTTCACGAACCCAAAGATACTCAATTGAGCAACAAA